TGTGCATACTTCTCGGAGTTCCTGTATTGTATTCTTCAGTTCCATTAATTCACTCATACTCCTCTCTAAGTTGTCTATTCTCAATAGGATTTCATCAAACCTTTTTTCAAAGTTCCTAGTTTCTTTACGTTGGGCTACAACATGTTCTTTTAACTCACCGAAGTTTGTTATTATCCATTCCTTGAAGAGTGGTTCTGTCATCAGGAGGCGCTCGTTCTCCATCAAGCCTTGTTCCATTGTTGATGTGGAACTGTGATCATCTTTAGAGGGAGAGGCGTTCTGACTTTGAGTATTCTTAGCTTTTTTACGCTGGTTTCTTCCCATCATTGTAAATTTATCCTCCTGTCGTCTTTGAAATTACCAACTTTCAGATTAGGTCTCTTGAGTGGACGTACAGGTTGTTAGTTCCCAGGGCCAGAGCAGCGGCGTTAAAACTGATGGTGCTTTTCTGCCCAGGATTCTCCTGTCGGGCTTCCTTCTTGTTTCCGTAGTAGGCGACTCTGCCTTCCTGGGGCTCCAAACCTCGGTCAGAAGGGGAACCGATCCCGTTTACTCTGCGCCGAGCACTGCCGCGTGGAGGTGCCGGTGGAACCGCTGCCCCGACCACGAGAGTCACGCTGGCGACTCGTGTGTTTCCACCACTGGGGGATCTTCTGCTCCGTGAGCGACCAGACTTTGTCTGAAAGTGTGGTGTCCTCTAGTTCTCCGCGCCTTCCCTGAGAGTTGCAATCCCGGGATGTTAGCGATCGGCCATGTTGGACCGTTCTCCTCTTTCCCCATTTCTTAGTCAAAAGCAGTATGAAGAAACTGTGAAGATTTTTTTTTTGAGACAGAGTCTCAAGCTTTCGCCTAGGCTGGAGTGAAGTGGCATGATCTTGGCTCAGCTCACTACAACCTCTGCTGCCCAGTGGGTTCAAGCAATTCTCCTACCTTGGCCCCCGGAATAGCTGAGATTATAGGTGCCTGCCACCAAGCCCAGCTTATTTCTGTATTTTTAGTAGAGATAGGGTTTTGCCATGTTGGCCAGGCTGATTTCAAACTCCTTACCTCAGGTGATCTGCCTGCCTCGGCCTCCCAAAGCACTAGGATTACAGGCATGAGCCACTGTGTCTGGCCACAACTCAAAAGTATTCTTAGATAAAAGACTTCTTATAAATCCTTTCCATATAAGCCAACATTAGAGGGACTAGAAAACCAATTATCTTTTGGAACTTTCTCTACTAAGTAGTAGTAAATAAAGGAAAAATAGGAATATCCCCTAACAATGTGGTGAGAAAGTAGGAGAGAGGGGTATATTTTTAAAAATATATACATCATAAAAATAAAACAATGTCTTCTCAAGTTGCATGAAAAATCTCAAGGTGGTTTAAAAACACTTGTGGAAAAGAATTTTTCTATTACTAGTAAGACTGAATCTGAATCAGAATTACTAGTCTTAACTTTGACACTAAAAAATAATTATGTTTGGCTGGCCAGGCGCAGTGGCTCCCACCTGTAACCCCAGTACTTTGGGAGGCCGAGGCGGGCAGATCACCAGAGGTTGGGAGATCGAGACCAGCCTAACCAACATGGAGAAACGCCATCTCTACTAAATACAAAAAATTAGCTGGGCGTGGTGGCGCATGCCTGTAATCCCAGCTACTTGGGAGGCTGAGGCAGGATAATCGCTTGAACCCAGGAGGCGGAGGCTGCGGTGAGTAGAGATCGCACCATTGCACTCCAGCTGGGGCAACAAGAATGAAACTCCATCTCAGAAAAAAAATAAAAAGTATGTTTGTCAAGATTCCTAATTGGCTAATCTTAATTTTTGATGAATGTGGTAACTTACTACAGTAGGATAAAGGGGTCTCTGACACTCAGGATTTTGTTTGTTTGTTTGTTTTCTAAAGCTTTTTTGTGGAGGCATGGAGTGAAGAGGCTTAGTGTTTGGTCCTAAAACGCAAGAGAAGGTAAAAAGAATGAGAAGCCAGCAATGTAAACTGAAGTAAAAGGCCATTTAATTAAAGTTGGGTTTTATTAACAATTTGAAGGGAACTTCAGTGTCCAGTAAGAAGCCTGTTTATTAATGAGTCTACTTGGAAACTTTGTCAAAATAATAGTTCTCACATGACTAGCTACATCAGAATTATCTGGGGTATCTTAAAAATGAAAGCAAAACCAGCATTCCAGGCACCTTAACAAAGTTTATTAGGTTCCTCAAAGGAGGGAGTACTTAACAAGACTTTGGTGAAAGAGCTCCTAAGAAGAGAGTTGTGTGTGTGGCAGAATTAATTCCAGGCAAACAGCACATGTAGAGGTAACAGATGGCAGACTAAGAAACTGAGTATATAATAAAGTGCTACACTGAATATTTCACAAATAAAACTTTTCTTTTAGGACAGATTCTCTGAAGTTTAATAACTGAAACAAAAGGTTTGCTCTTGAACTTTAAGCTTGCTAAATATTGCTAAACTGCTTCCTTGAAGGTTATATGAACTTGCTACATATCAGCAGTAAGTATGAAAACACTATTATTCTGCTCTTTACTTTCCTTCAGTATAGCACTTGTTTTATAAAACTCTGCAGATTCAGAAAATGAGTTTCAAAATCTTAAATTGGTAATTATTTTACTAAGCTGCACTTTTTTGCCTATGTTGTCATTTATCCATAAGTAACTTTCATAAAGTCTTTATTTTTAATAAGCTATAAACACTTCATAATTTTTTTCAAACTTTATGATAGTGGTTTAAAGTTATAAAAGTTGTAAATTTTCATATAACTGAAGATTTAATTTCTTTGTGATTCCTTTTATATTCAAAAATTCTTCCTTCCTCCAGAGAGCTGATACTCAACATTGAAAAAAACATTTTTTTGTTGTATTTTAAAAATACTTAGGCCAGGTGCAGTGGTTCACACCTGTAATCACAGTGCTTTGAGAGGCCAAGGTGAATGGATTGCCCTGAGGTCAGAAGTTCAAGACCAGCCTGGCCAACATGGCAAAACCCCTGTCTCTACTAAAAATACAAAAATTCCGGGTATGGTGGTGTGCCTGTAATCTCAGCTACTAGGGAGGCTGAGTCAGGAGAACTGCTTGAACCCAGGAGGTGGAGGATGCGGTGAATCAAGACTGCACCACTGCACTCCAACCTGGGCAACAGAGTGAGACTCCATCTCAAAAAATAAATAAAAAATAAATACAAATACTGAATCTACAGGAAATATTTTATGCAGTGAAAATATTACTTTTCCCAAAGGATTACCACTTTTCCAAGATGATTACTTACTAAATAATCCTTCCCCTTCTCACTTATTTGTAACGCCTTATTTATCATATATTCAAATGTTATATACTACAGGGTCTAAATAAGAGGAATTGTATTTCAGTGATCTATTCTTCCATTAATATGTTTTAGTATCCTGTCTGATAGATTAATTCTCCTCCATTACTTTTATGTTTCAAAATTGAAACTCTGCTCTTCTTGTCTACTATTTCTCCCCAACCTTTTCAAACATCTATCTCCCTCCCCACCCTGCAATCATTCACTGGATTTTTAATGAACTCCATTGAACCTGTAAAATATACGTATTTTTATATGACAGCTCTTAAAGTTTTGTCATCTTCTTCTAAGTCATATGTGTTTCTCACTGATAGTACCCTAATTTTTCACATTCCTGTCTCTCAGGAACAGCATTTTTCTTTGTGTTTTCTAATTTGTAACTTCTGGCATAGTTCTATTGCACTGACTCTGGTTAGCTACACCAGTTCAACACCTGAGTAACTCTTAAGTTTTTAATTTACTCAACTTAGGTGAGGATACAGAAGGTTTCACATTGGATAGAAGAAGATAAGTGGGGAAGGTCATAGTTGAATTCGTTTTTGCTAGTTATAATTTCTTAACAGGTTAACATTAAGGAAAAAAAAAAACCTGCTTCAAAAAGTACACTGAAGAACATACACTTTTTGTTTTTAATTTCAAATACCTCTTCGGGGAAGCACTAAGGTTAGTTTAGAAATGCCAGCAGCTCTGAATTATAAAGCTATCATTAGCATCCCAACAAGTACAATAGAAACTTAAAATTACTGAGAGTACTTTATTAATAAAACTACAATCAGCAGAACCTCACATTTTGTTAGAGATAATGATTAGAACTCCCCTCCCTATATCAGATCTTCTAATTAATTTTTATATAGGCCTCTTATTTATATTAGCCACATCAAGCCTAACAGTCTACTCTATTCTATGATCAGGATGAGCATCTAAATCAAAATATGAACTAACTGGTACTTTACGAATTAGAGCCCAGACAACTGGAATACAGAGCTTTCTTTAATTTAAGGAGGTACCTCTAACTTACTGTTATTCTCCCTCTCCCCAGCCATGAATAGTACCAGAACTAAATGAATACACAAGGCATCAAAACTTCTATTTCAAACAACAGGTTTCACAGTAACTAGTTCACCCAGGCTGGAGTAGAGTGGCACAATCTCGGCTCGCTGCAACCTTTGCCTCCAGGGCTCAAGAGATTCTCATACCTCAGTCTCCGGAATAGCTGGAATTACAGGTGCATGGCACCATATCCAGCTAATTTTTGTATTGTTAGTAGACGGAGTTTTACCATCTTGACTAGGCTAGTCTTGAACTCCTAACCTCAAGTGATCTGCTTGCCTCAGTCTCCCAAAGTGGTGGGATTAGAGATGTAAGCCACCATGCCTGGGCTCCCAGTAACTAGTTCTAATTTGATCTAAAGATTACTAAACACTTATTTGTTGTAATAAATGGTAGAGTCTCAGAATATCAAAGTAATTTTACATTTTACTTTTATGATGGTTATGATTCTGTTTGCCCCATTAAAATTCTAGTGTAATTCATCCATTAAATATATCAGAATATTTTAAATAATTTTTTTCATATTACGTAAATGTAACACCAATTATATCTTCCCTTCTTTTCCCCAAGTCTTAGCAAACATAATCTTCAAATCAAAATGCTAAAAAGTTATTACAAATTCAAACTGCTTACCATGATACCACCATTTTGTTTTCTTTGGATTCTTGTTACATGTTCGCACATAAAAAGAATTATCTGGTGGTCGTCTCTGAAACAAAAAAGAATTTGTTAGACAAAGTCAAAAAACAGTAAAACTAAGAGGGAGGCAGTTTTAATAAAAGCTTAAGCAAAATTAACCTAAAATGCATGAAACAATATAAACATGGAAAGCATATGTAAAAGAATAAAAACTAAAAATGTATTCCAGGAAATGTAGATGCTTAACAACTAAATTAAAAAAAAAAAAAAAATAAGGGTGTTTGTGTGTCACCTGTGTTAGGTTCCAATGTTATCAGGAGAGAATGACTATTACACCAGAAGGGGAAACATTAAGTTGCAAAGAATTTTGGTCTGATGTATCTTGTTAGTTCCCTGGAAATAATTTAATAAATACCTTTGTGAGCTCATTAAAAGTCAGGTGAGGTGGCTCAGTCTGTAATCCTAGCACTTTAGTACGTCAAGGTGGGAGGATCACTTGAGCCCAGGAGTTCAAGACCAGCCTGGGCAACATAGTGAGACCTCATCTCTATTAAAAAACAAAACTGGGCAGCTACAGTGGCTAACGCCTGTAATCCCAGTACTTTGGGAGGCTGAGGTAGGTGAATCACCTGAGGTCAGGAGTTAGAGACCAGCCTGGCCAACATGGTGAAACCCAGTCTCCACTAAAAATACAAAAAACATAGCTGGGCATGGTGGCGGGCACCTGTAATCCCGCTACCTGGGAGGCTGAGGCAGAATTGCTTGAACCCAGGAGGCAGAAGTTGGAGTGAGCCCAGATCATGCCACTGTACTCCAGCCTATGTGACAGAGTGAGACTCTGTCTCATAAATAAACAAACAAAACAAAAAACCAGAAAAGCCTACTAGATTTGTCTAGAGAAGTCAAGCAATGTACAAACCTCCACAAAGAACTATTTTTTTTTTTTTTTTTTGAGACGGAGTTTCGCTCTTGTTACCCAAGCTGGAGTGCAATGGCACGATCTCGGCTCACCGCAACCTCCGCCTCCTGGGTTCAGGCACTTCTCCTACTTCAGCCTCCTGTGTAGCTGAAATTACAGGCATGTGCCCACCTAATTTTTTTTTTTTTGTATTTTTAGTAGAGACGGGGTTTCACCATGTTGACCAGGATGGTCTCAATCTCTTGACCTTGTGATCCACCCGCCTCGGCCTCCCAAAGTGCTGGCTTGAGCCACCGCGCCCGGCCAAAGAACTATTTTTTTACTATAATAGAATAACATCAAAGATAGACCAGAAGATTCAGTTTCTAAACAATACTCGAGAAAAAAAGGGAAAAAATATATATTGGCATTTCTACTATAATTGGCCTCTCTGCTGTACTTTACGCCCTGACTAGAACAATATGAGAAATATATGGCAGTTCTGCAAGGGAGCTACATCAGATAAAGTGATGCCAACAACACTGAAGATATATTATGGAAGAGATTTTTCCTGAAATCTATTGGATACTAACCAGACAAAATAAAATGTCACTCTCTACATAGAATTAGAAATGTCAAATTTGTATCAGAGCTATATTAAAGTTTATAGATATGACAGCTATCCTTATCCTTTAGTGTCCTTTATGCCTACTTTCAGAATCATCCTGATAACTTTTTTTCCTATCCTTAAATATTTTATAGTGTATACATAGAATTTATTTCAGACATAAATCTGCTTAGCTAAACTAATGAAAATAAAGATTAGGGGAATCATTTCCTCTGAGGCTAATGAAAATAAATGTGTTTGGTATGATATCATTTAAGGAAAGTCTAACCAGAAAGCAATGGTGAGTAGGACTCTGTGATAGCAGGACGGAAAACAGCAAGTCAATTTGACACTTCTAAAATTCATATATATACATAACTTTCATCCTAGTTGAACCTCATAATGCCCTGTGTGTTAATATTAATTTAACAACAATAAAAAAATGTTACAGCACAAGACATGAAAGTATCCCAAGTTAATCTGGGGATACAATTAGAGAAAATTCCTAAAAAATTAATATTATGAAATTAGATACTTCAAGGAAGGGATGATTCTACAAAGTCAAATCTATGTTCATACGGAATTGGTACTACTACAGCAAATAATTTCACAAATTCATTTTATGTATATATTGATTAGAACCCAAGAATCATCAGAAAAGTCTTCAAAAAATATTTAGAAAAAAATACCCATTCTCATTTGCTTAAATCACCAATCTCCCTCTTAAGTGATCAGGGAGATATTGTTCTTAGAAAAGAAACTAAACAAAAGAAAGCTTATGAAATTGTTTTAGGAATGGGATACAAACTGCAAAGTGTGAACGATGTAAGTGTATTATAAAGGCATGTGAGTAAAGTGGCATTTACTGAAAGGCCCATGATCAAAATATCAGAAATTATCTTTAATCCACTGTAATCTAATGACATACTGAATTTAAATACCTTCAGCTCATGGAACCACTCCTGACTGTGTAAAAGGAAACTGGAATAAAAGAATTATGACTAGAGTCTCAAACACCTAAAGTAAAATATTTTAATAGTAATAGAATTAACTATCAAAGTAAAGCCCATAGAACCATGTCTACTACAGAATAAACTTTACCCATTTTAACAGTAAAACATGTAAGTGGGTATTTAAAATACTGTTTTGTTTTGTTTGAGGCAGAGTCTTGCTCTATTGCCACAGGCTGAAGTGCAGTGGTGCGATCTCAGCTTACTGCAACCCTGACCTCCTGGGTTTAAGCAATTCTCGTGCATCAGCCACCCAAGTAGCTGGGTCTACAGGCATGCACCACCACACCCAGCTAATTTTTCTATTCTTAGTTGATGGCGTTTAGCCATTTTGCCTAGGCTGGTCTCGAACTCCTGGCCTCAAGTGATCCACTGCACCTTGCCTAAAAGACTTTTTAAGGTTTCTTTGGAGCTGGATCCTCTCAATGCCAAAGAAAATTTCCTTTTCATCTTTGTAACTTATCACTTAGCACAGTAAAAGTAGCACATACTAGTAAATTTTTTGAATTTTATCATATTTGATGGAAATCCTGACTTCCAGATCATCTTGTTAAACATATTATACAATGGTAACAGTAAAAATACAGTTTATTAGTGCTTTAAATGGAATGATTAGTCTTATATTAAGTATGCAAGAAACACTATTAGCAGACAATTAGAATGTAAGGGGAACCGTGAAGGTTAAATGATGATGAAGAAAACATACAGAATATAGTCATTCTCTAGTTTTTAATAATAATACATTTAAATGTAAACAAAATCTAATAATCATGAGGCACATGCAAGACTATATACAGATATCGCTGATGTTCACCTCTTCATAACTTTCTTATTAAATCCTGTTGTTACCATCTTACCTTTCTATAGACTTAAAGCATAACAGGAACATAGAAGGCCTTATACCCACAAACTGCTTTGCCCTACACATAAAAGTTTAACACTTGTATGTGCTGGGGTGGGTGAGAGGAGAAAATATAAAAGCAATAAGCAACAAATGAGTAAAAACAAAACAAAAGCAATTTAACCCATTATTTCATATGCTGTGGCTTAGAGTGCTTCCGGTTCTAAATAACCTATCATTTTAAAATGAACTATTATCTTAAACGTTCTCCAAATACTAATTTAATAAAAATGGCAATCAGTTCAATTTGGAGAACAGAGAAGAAAACTGCAAAACACAAATAGCTCCCTAACTACGAGGGCAAATTTGTTTTTCCTTTAAACAGAATGCAAAAGGAAACCCTCATGGGGATTTAAGAGGGATTTTAAAATGTAGAAATACATGAATATTATGCTATACTAACCCTCAAGCAGGAATAAGAGGATCAGAAATGCACAGAGGATTCAGACACCTTTAAAGGGTATAAGGGTATCCTAAATTTATGTATGTATTTTAAATTTACTGTATTATTTTTGAGATGGAGTCTCACTCTGTCACCCAGGCTGGAGTGCAGTAGCACGATCTTGGCTCACTGAAACCTCTGCCTCCTGGGTTCAAGCGATTCTCCTACCACAAGTCTCTCACACAGCTGGGATTAGAAATGCACACCATCACATCCAGCTAATTTTTGTATTTTTAGTAGAGACGGGTTTCACCATGTTGGCCAGGCTGGCCTCTAACTCCTGACCTCAGGTGATCTGCCTGCTTCGGCCTCCCAGCAAAGTGCTGGGATTACAGGCATGAGCCACGGAAGCCAGCCTACATTTTAAATTTAGTAAGTGATTTTTTCTTTCTGTTTCTCACCCCCCCCACCGCCACTTCCATTAGACAGACACAGAATCTGTGGATTAATAAAGGAGAACAGGAAGAAACATCCTGAAAATTCTACTGGTAAATTGGTCTTCCTCCTTCAACCTAATTATTAGGATAGGAAAGCTCTGGTTCCTGAAAAATTCCCTGAAACATGCTGGTAGGGTGGGAGCTGGCGGAGGGGAGAAGGAAGCTATGATGCATATTTCTGAGGCTTTCCACTGTGAAATCCACAAAAAGAATTTCTTGTACACTTTTACCCTGTGCATGCTTTTGGGAATAAAATCAGATTATTTAAGAACATGTGCACACATTTCCTGTTTAAAAAAATATGAAACAGTAAGTCTGGCTTCTACCCCATTCAACATTTAAAACTTCTATTTGGAATGAAAGGTATCAAAATAATTTTCCAATTTATTATTAAACGTGAAATTCCCTATAGTTTTAAAATAAAAAAGTATAAGTCCTTTCTCCAAATAAAAATAATTACATATTAAAATTGTTTATCTACCTAAAGTGAGAGAAGAGATATTTTCTGGAATAATTCTGAAAAGTCCTACCTTTTCTTTGCAGCTGGAAAGCATGCTAATAATGCTAAGACAAACTGATTGGACTGAGAGCGCTGGGGACCAGTCTTCTGTTAGAATGGATAAACAGATATGACCATTGCTATAAACATGAGGATGAACAGGAATATTTTCACCAGTAAACATGACCTAAGAGAGAATAAAATTCCATTAAAACTCAAATATTCTCTATAACCAAAAACTAGTCTCCACATATAACAAGTATTGACTGTACAAAAACAAAATAAAAACAAACCAAAATCAGTGCCAGGAACATGATAAACAACTGCTTATTTGTTTACTCTCATTAACTCAGTAAGTACTGGTTTCACTGAATGAATAACCATGTAGTAGGGAAAAAAAATCCAAATTATTTTTTATTTTGGTTATTTTTGATAAATTCTCCTTAAAAATTCTAAACTACTACATATTTTTTCACTGTAAGAATGATATTTTCAAATTCTATTCATTGCTCTCTGCATATAAAAATCAAGTATGTTAAAATTCCAAACGAAAATATTCAATTTTGGGAAAATATGAATGACAGGTGGTAGGAACACTCCTACTACTATTACCTGTAACAATGTTAGCGCTAATATGCATGTACAAAGGGAAATGATTGCTATATATTCCACCTCCTCTAAACTCACACATCCATTATGACAGGCACAAGTTACTAGCTGTTAATCAGTATATAACTATGTGCCTAGACAAAAAATACAAAAGCTGACCAAATCTCCCAACTACTTGCTGTTCTACTCTCCTTTTGCTTTCACTCAATTCTTGTACACTGTTTGTCCTTTCTCTACCTTGCCTCAGCAATGTTTTGAATGGTAATACATCCATTATTTTCTTCCTTTGCCCTAATAATTCAATAAATATCCTATAATATTTTTTCTTAAACTTGTTTACCTACACAAATAGGCAGGAGAATAAATTCATATATCCTGAGGAATCTGTAAGCATAGTCCAAAGTTGTTCGAAGAAAGCAGATGTCTTATGTTTATACTGTGAACTATATATCTTCTGCAGGTTAGCAGTAATTCCTAACTCCTGATCTCGCCATTAAAAAAAAAAAAAAAAAACATAGCTGAGGATCTGGCTAAAAATACAAATTTGAGGCTGGGTGCGATGGCTCATGCCTGTAATCCCAACACTTTGGGAGGCTAAGGGGGGTGGTGAATCACCTGAGGTCAGGAGTTCGAGACCAGTCTGGCCAACATGGTGAAACCCTGCCCTCTAATAAAAATACAAAAATTAGCTAGGTGTGGTGGCAGGCACCCGTAATCTCAGCTACTAGGGAGGCTGAGGCAAGAGAATTTCTGGAACCCAGGAGGTAGAGGGTGAGCTGAGATCATGCCACTGAACTCCAGCTTGGGCAACAATAATGAGACAAATTCAAGTGTCCTACTTTCACAGATTCTGATTTAGTAGATATGATATTTTTATAAAGCTCATCAGATATAAACCAACAATTCCTAAATCAGATTTACAGCATCTCTCTCAGCCCTGCAACCTGCCTCATAACCAACTACAGCAGAGTATTAGTAAGGAGAAATCTTACCTTAAATTATAGCAGAAACTGACAAAAGATATACGAGTATTGCTTTAGACATACCCTTTTCTCTTTAAAGAGCAGAAAAAAGAACCAGTCAGGTAAGTATAAATAGAGTAAAGTATGCTGTAGTTTAATATGGAATATGTTATAGGAAATTACCATAAGCTAAGGTTTTATAGATATTCTAAGTATCTAGCTATGAATCTGATTTTGTCACAATTTTACAAAGACTTACATGTTAACAAAACAGTCTTTCATATGAGTAGGAGTCTTCTAATTCAAATATATTAACTAACATTGGGACACAGTTCCTTGGCTGAGGCTAAATAAGAGAGCAAAAGGCATTTTTTCCCCCAAAGGAATGATTTTCCATACTTGCACATTTTTTTTTTTTTAATTTAAATTATGGACATCAACCCTCTATTCCCACTTAAAAAAAAAAAAAAAGTTAAAAAGCAAAAGTAAAGTCTCAAAATAATAGAAATCAAGTCGCTCATCCTACCTAATTACACAAGGCCCCTGAAAGGACTTTGACTTTGTAATGGCTATGCTCTAAGCATGCCATTTATCCCAATTATATTCTCTCAGTGCTAGTGCCCTCTTCATTACTTTTTGCTAAAAAAAAGTATCGCTTTGTAAAAGAAAACATGCTTAAATGGTTTTATAGTTCTACACTTTCAGTCTGTCCACAATATTTAATAAAATTTTATTTTTAATAAATATGAGCTATTGTTTTTACATCATATGCATCTAATATTACCATGTGTTACAGATGTGGAAAATGGGAGTTTACAAATCTTACAGACTGTGTATCTGCATTGGGATATTCATTTTGCCATAAAAAGCCATTTGACCAGTAGGATATTTTCATTAAAACACAAGCAATACCCAGGAGTTCATTATCTGGCCACAATTGTTTTTTAAAAGAGATTTTTTTCCCCAGTAAGGTCTGTCTCAAGAAGTCAAGAACAATAGTGATCTGAAAGTACAAAAAAAAAAAAAAAACCAAACAAAAAAAACTGCCAAATTATCTTCTTTGGCAAAACTGAATCACCAACCTTTTAAGAAAAAAGTAACGCTAAGGTTACCACATGTTTCCACCAGCCAATTCAGAGCACAAAGAAGCAGTATTTATCCTAAAGAGAAATGATTATAAACTAAATCACTTGGCCTGAGAGCCAGAGGTAGGCATGAACCAAAAACAACTCAGGAGAAAGGAGAAAGAAGAGTGATGAGCAGCAGTAGAAAACACCTACAGCAGAAGCAGTAGACACTCTAAGCAAAAAAGAGAGCCAGAAACAAGAGGACAGAAACAACTCTGAAGTAAAACGGGACTAAGATAAAAATAATTCAGATCAGATCTCAATAACCTTTAAATAAAACAGCAGGGGCTTTTTAACATTCTGCATGCAGGGCAAATTCATGAAACTTTTAGCAACTTGAAAATTTTAGCAACCAAAACAAGGGAAATTAATTATTTGCATATATTATAATAGGTAACCCCGAGGGCCTAACTGGCCAGATACAGAATTTTAGAAGTTTATCTAAACATGTAAAGGGTGAATTTACATGCCACAGGTGAATTTCTGGAAGGAAAAAAAAAAAAGGAAAAATTTTTTCAATAGTTCATTCATATAAAAGGCAAATAAGCACAGATTCCACAAATAGTATTTTTTCTTTTCGAGACAGAGTTTCACCCTTGCTGCCCAGGCTACAGTACAATGGCACGATCTTGGCTCACTACAACCTTGTCCTCCCCCGTTCAAACAATTCTGCCTTAGCCTCCCAAGTAGCTGAGATTACAGGTATGCACCACCACACCCAGCTAATTTATTACAATGACTTAACAAAAATCAGTAATTGAAAGTAGACTTGTAATTGTACACTTCTATATGTTTATACACTTTACCAGAAACCTCTGCATTATTGCTAAGAACAAAATAAAGGATGGATATTAGGTAACTTTCTAATATGAAATTCAAGAATTTCCAAACATCAAACCCAGTACTGAGATCTTACCACAAAATACTGTTCAGACTACTGGTGCAGAAGTAGTTCAAAAGTCAATCACCTAACATGGTGTCAAGCTAGGTCAAAACACAGTATAAGCTGGGCGTGGTGGCTCATGCCTATAATCCAAGCACTTTGGAGGCCAAGGTGGGCAGATCACCTGAGGTCGGGAGTTCAAGACCAGCCTAACATGGTGAAACCCAATTTAAAAAAAAAAAAAAAAAAAGGAAAACACAGTATATACAAATGAGCAGTACGAAACAATATAATTATAAAAGCCAATCTACAATATGGATACCAACGTTTTTCCAGGGACAGTATGAGGAAAATGTGTTCTCTGATTACAATTATAAGCAAATGATAGTACTTAATGTTTAACTACATAAACTGACCATACAAGCAATGAGTTTATTGTTGTAATGGAAACTAAATCAGATATTTAATTATGTATAACATATGATATGGGTAGTCTACCATAAATGGCAGGTATTTGACAAAAATGATTGAAGATTGGAATTTTAGCATAGCTTTCAATCCAATTTTCTCTTTTTAGTCCTCTCATATATATCAGCAAGCATCCATAAGTGTTCCCTGATACTCTGTAATGACCATTACCATGCAACTATAGATGTACTGCAAAGACAAAATTATTGGGCACAATGAAACTAAACTTGGATTGCCTTGGATGGTAATCATTCTCTTATACTCTGTGTTCTCTCAGCCTACCAGTCTAATCCTCTGTCTTCCTTCTCCTTGACCCCCAAGTCTTCAGTGAATAGGGTTCACTGTTCACCTTCTTTCTGGGGGCCAAAGATGCTTGACAATTTAAGGCAATAAAAATTGTTACTCAGAGACTTTGGAAAGCTTGAACATCACCTCATGAAAGAGGATGGAAAATCAGACCAGGAAAAAAAGACAAGATGAGGACATCATGAAAATAGTTCTCGATCTCTTCAATAAATGAATTTTGAGCAACAGAAAAGGGTCTGTGGTAAGGGGGCATAAACAGGAGAGGGTTAAAGCTTTATAATCAAGACAATTGTACTTCCAGCACCACTCTTAGTATCAAAAGGGCTTCAAATAAAAGAGACACTGTTCCCTTCCCTCTAAAATAAGTATTTACCCTACTTCTAAAATACTGAAAATTTTCTCACCAAATAGTTAAAAATCTCAAAAACAATAACCCTGTGTAACTGGGAGGTTTAAAGGTAGGATAAATCAGCTGCTGTGACTCACGCCTGTAATCCCAGCACTTTGGGAGGCTGAGGCAGGTGGATCACTTGAGGTCAGGAGTTCCAGACAAGCCTGGCCAACATGGTAAAACATCATCTCTCCTAAAAATACAAAAATTAAATGAGTGTTGTGGTGCATGCCTATAACCCCAGCTGCTCAGGTGGCTGAGGCAGGAGAATCATTTGAACCCAGGAGGTGGAGGTTCCAGTGAGCAGAGATCATGCTACTGCACTCCAGCCTGAGTGACACAGTGAGACCTTGTCTCAATAAAAAATAAGTAAAGGTGACATAGATGTATTTCAGATTTGTTCAACTCAAATAGAATGTTTTAACAGAAAAAAAGGGTATA